CCTGCCAGGGCTGGTGTTAGCACCAGTAACAAAGGAGCTAATACCACTTCCACTTCCTGGGGGTGCATATCTGGAAGTGAAAAAAGCCAGCACACTCCAGTGCAGTCACAGGGCTGGGGTGGCTAATAAGCTAATTGGCAAGCCTAGCCCTGGGAACACAGCAGTTGGTGGTGTCAGCCCTGGGATTACACCAGAGCAAGTTCATCACTCTGGTGTGGTCCCAGGGTGAAAACCACAAATCAACTGATTGGCAGAACCCTACTGGAGTGTCCCAGCTTTCTCCACTTCTACAGATACACCCCTTGGATCTCCAGGACCCATATCTGGAAGCAGGGAAAGTTGTGGTTCCCCATTTGCAGAGATGTGCCCCTAGCAATCTTCAGAAACCTCACAGATGGCCAAAGGCACATCTCTGGAAGTGAGGAACATATGAGCAGTTGTCCCATAAAATCAATGGGCAGGAAAAGAGGCAACGTGTGTCTCACCCGATGAATTGGGTCAGCTGTGCCAATTAACACATCCTGGCATAGCTGATCCTTTAATTTGATGATGTCCATTTCTAATCTACTTTCCTTCCTCTTCCTTTCCTTTTCATCCTCCTGGTAAAGACAATGAGCTCACAGGAGAAGACTCAGAGGGTGTGGGCACCTTCTATGTGTGAACAAGTTGAGAATGCTTCATTCCAACTTTAACCCTGGATGAAGGAGCATTAAAGTTGGAGCAGTGGGTTTTCACATGAAATAGTGAGAACATACCAGCTGCTGCTTTTCTGAAATGTCCCCCTTTTGAAAAGACTCAAAATATTTGTAAGGATATAAATACAAATGCCCCTCTGTTCTATAAATGACTTGAGATACACAGCATTTCCAAATAAACTAATACAGTAAAAAATCAAAACAATAAGGCAATATATGATCCAATGGTCCTATCTCTCCAGCCCCTTGCATATCCATTTCACTATAAGGAACTGTTAATTCCTTATTTTAAAAGAAATACTCAACTCATTGCACCTTTCCCATGGGTCTTAATTCATACGTTGCAATGACCGCCAAACCCTGCACAGGCATGCAGACCTTCCTCTGGCAGAGCACTTGAGGAAAACCTTTATACACTGAAACACCTGGCTGCTTCTACAGGAGACGGAATACTGTTATAAGATTTCTGCTAAATAATATTTCTGCAACTAGAAAGCATCACTATTTTTGCCTTAAAATTAACCTCTGATTATGAAAATACAGGGAATTTATTCTCAAACACCACTTTTAATTAAGGGAAAATTTACCGCAGCTATAGTTTAAATCAAACTAGTCTTCAGGAAAATAATTTTAAAAATCTATCTATTAAATTCTATGAAAAAATAAACACTTACCCAACCAAAACACTCCAGCTAGGATAGCATGGGAAAGCATCTTCAAAATAGAGAGTCTTTTACTTAATAATGTCACCAGAAGCATGAGGCCTAAGAATATACAGAGCTCTGATCTGAAGACAATAATTGCCAATGCTGAGAACCAGATGAAGAGCCCATGTTTTTGTTGTATCCAAAACATAAGTGCCAGCAGAACTGTAGAAAACAGACAAATACACAACATCTGGTATATAGGCAGTCCTCAACTTACATTTCAAGTTACAACATTTTGCACTTACAACGTTTCTAAATTGACACCCTGTTTCGACCTTCTGATGTCAGTTTTGACTTTACGATGCTTGATCCGATGCGACGCCACACCAGCGAACAAGTTCGCTGTGTCACCCATCTCCCTGGAGAACATCTGTCCAAACCTCCTCGGACATTTTCTTTAAGAAAGCACACAAGACTCCAGGAAACCTTCAGCCAAGACTTCTGAGAAGACTCTAGCCAAGGACCCTTCAAAAAGTCCAACCAAGAGCCCTTCAAAAACTCCAGCAAAATCACCTCAAAAAGTGCTTCCAAATCAATATGATTCCTATTTACACCATAAATACATTAAAGGTAGCTATATTACTCATCCATAATTGACTGAGTACAAAATTCGGGGTTATTTTTGGTGAAAACAAGCTATCGGGCCTTGGTTCACGAACCAATCCCCCATTTACAACATTGTTTCCCATGGGAAAATCAGATCTGAGTTACGTTTCGACTTAAGACGTGGTTTTCAGGAACCAATTGTGTTGTAAATCCAAGGACCACCTGTACTGGCTTTTTAAAATTCTAATTCAGGTAGCTTCTTCATTCTCCATTTCTAACCCTTACGCTTACTTCTAATCCAGCAGACCTCCTGCTGAAGCCGGAAAAAAGGAACACAGAATAGGATTTTCTTAAAAACATTCTATAGCTTGTCATAGCAGCTAATTGGGAAAGGAACAATTACAAAAGGGGTAGACTAAATAATCTATCAGACTAAATGCACACGATGCAAAGCTTTCCTAATCAAGATGATTATTGCTATTATTATTTATTCAGTACCAACCAGTGTGTTTGCTATTCCTGATTTCTGTAGTTTGTATTCATGCTAATAGCACCCACCTGTACACACCTAAAAATACATTTTGTGCCTCTTAAGAACAAGGGAATGTAAATTTGTCTGCATGTTTAGTTGAACAGATACATTTCTACAGATCAGAGGGTTCACAAACTTCTTCATAGTGCCCTTAATTCTTAATATAGATTGCACTGATGATCAGACATCACCAGAAAACCACAATGTGGCAGTTACAGAAATGGCTTGTATGAAAGTGTAATGGCAGAAAAATATTTCATATATGTAGATGTCAGCGGTTTGCAAAGGTTATTACTCTGCAATATAAACTTGGCAATTCAACTCTTGAGTTTTTTGTTTATTTCTGTAGATTCTGATGCTGTCCTCATCGCTGCAGTAGCTGAGCACCTTCCAGTCAACCATTACAGTACTATCACATGGCTGATTCCTTTCTCTCATTATCTCTCCTGGGAGAGAACTCTGTGCAAGGTTGGGTTTGGTCTGGGGGATTTTATAATTTTTAAATAGGCACACTGTTATGTGTTTACATTAGGCTGAAGTAAGTATCCCTATCTTGGGAGGAGATAGCGATGAGGTTAGTGCTGATCTTTAGTTACTGTGGGAGTTCACTCCAAACTCCTGAATTGGTTCCCTGCATGGACTAGCTTTGTCCCTCCTATAGATACTTGACCTATATAGGATCAGAGACTGCAATGGCTCCACATTTTACAAATCAAGTAAATACTGTCAGACCATTACTTAATGAAAATCTTCTGGTAAAACCCACATATGCTCATATTAAACAGAATTCTGGATTAACAAAATCTTTTTAAACAAATACTGAAAAATACATTTTCCTTAATTTTTTCAGACTACCAGCCACACAGTATGTCTGTGGATGGCTGCACTTATTTTATTTGTCCACAAGTATTAGCTATCAACAAACTTAGGAAACATTTCAGTATACAAACAGTATCTTCTGTCAAAAAACTTACCAAGAGGAAGTGCAAACACATTGGGAAGAGTTCTAGTGCAGTAAAACATCAGATGAAACTGAGTAACAGTTATAAGACAGAAGATGGTTGATGCAGTTGATCCAAACTGCTTTCTAACTTCTTTCTGTAACTTCCATAGTGCATAAATCACAGTAAGCCCCAAGCTTGCTCTAACTTTGGGAGAATAAACATGAAAAATAAAAAAAAGTAACACCAGATTCCTTACTGACTGACCTACCAATGACAAAATAAAGGTAAATTAGAGTGGTGTATACACAAAGAATATTTTAAGTAGCATCATTTTTAAGAAGTGGGGTAGTGAAACTTTGAAGAAGCAGGCAAATTGTTTAAAATATAATACTAGAGATTACACTTAAACTCACAAAGTAAGAACCCCCGCTCATAGTTTATCCAATACAATCCACCCTTGTTTGTTTGCAGTTATCGGAGGGGTTGATTTCTGTGTATGATATTATATGTGGTAGATGTTGCTATACCGAAGTAAAATATAAGGTGTTCAGAATAATATGATAAATATTTTCTTAATTCCTTTTTCACTGTTACACCTTTGTTTCTTTAACAAACCTTGTTGTGTTAGCTGGTTCAAAAAGATGCATGAATGACATCATGTTGAGCAACTTCAATCTTGCCAGATCACTTGTTAAAAAAGGTAATATATTCTAGAGCACTCATTTAAAACAATACAAATGTACAGCACAGAGCAGCAAAGGATCTCCTTTCAGAGTTTAAAGTTCTCATACCTATCAACTGGGAGTAAAACTTGGACATTTGCAACATAGACAGTACATATATAGCTGGGCTGGAAAGTGCAGCAATAAAAATTGGTCCAAGGAACGTTCTTGGGACAACTCCAGGAAATTCATGGTGATCATACTGCAAAGAAAAGCAAAAAGTTGTAAGATGGGCAAGCCAGAAATAACATCTGAAAACGGAAGAGTGAATGAAAACTAGACAAATAATGCCCCCAGGCTTCATGTTGCATTTGTTCTATACAAGTAAGAGGGCTGGCTATCTCAAACAGTCCCTAAGAATTAAAGTCCTCTTTTCCCATTCACCTTATCCAAGTCCAGTCTGTGGTACACAATGTCATGGATTGCTTGCAGATTAAAGCTTTCCTCCACTTTTGTAAATGGGCAGACAGTTAAATGTGCAAAGGCCACAACAATGATCATCATCAGCAGGAACGGCTGCCCACCTGAGCTCCTCTTCTGAGCCATGATGAATTTGACTTCCACATCTATTCTATTATTGCCAGAGATCAAAGTTAGGGGGAAAAACGGGAAAGAATAGAAATCATATTAACATAATGACAAAACACATATAAATGGAAAAGGAGAAACTAACTCTGCTAGAATTCAAAGGAAAATACATTGCTGACGATGTATACTGGGGTGGGCAATTATTTGGGCTGGAGGGCCACTTAATGAGCTCTGGGATCCTGTCAAGGGCCACATCCATCTGTGTGTCTTGCTCTTTCCCTCTGTCTCTCTCTCTTCTCTTCCCTTCCCTCTCCCTCCCTCCAGAACCAGGCCAAAGTTACAGTTCACTATGAGCCCTGACCCTCAGCTGTGGACCCAAGTAGGAGCTTCTGCAGCACCTGGCAGGCAGCAGCATCAGAACCTCCTGGCAGTGTCACAATGGATTCTGAAGCCCCCCAGTGTGGCAGAAGCTCCTGTCTGGGTACACAGCTGAGCATTGTGACATCTAGTGAACCAGTTTCAACCAGGTTCTAGAGGGAGGGGGAGGAAATAAGGAAAGGAGAGGCAGAGACACAAAGAGAGAGATGGAGAGATGTTGCTGCCCGCCCAGCATGTCATCCAGGCTCCTGAACCTACCAGTGGCATCCACAGCTGATGTTGCCATCCACTCACTGCAGCAGAAGCCCTGCCTGGTGCACAGCTGATGCCTGATGCTGCTGGGCAGAAGCAGTCTTGTCTGCCTGGCGCCATGCAATGGCTGGAGCCTCTGACTGCCCACAGGCCAGATCCCATGAGTTGGCAGCCATGCACATGTAGGTCATATTGAAACTGTTGGTGGGCCAGATCTGGCCTGCAGGCCATATTTTGCCCACCCCTGATGTGTACCGTAAACCAGTGATTCTCAACCAGGGGGTTGTGGCATCCTGGGATGCCAAAACATCCTTTTAAGGGTGTCATGGGGTGCTGCTCAGAACTAGCACTGTTAGATATGCGAACACTTACACATGATTCACAAAAACCTAGAGATTTCAAATAGAGATCCATGCATCAAAAACATTCTGACCTGCTGTGGGGCTTCTGAGTTCTTTGCAATTATTTGCAATTCAAAAGAATTGCTCTATTATATTTCCACAGTCAAAAAAAGAGCTGAATGTTAAGAGCTGAGGAGTTCCTGGAATCCAATGAGGGGTACCTCAAGTCTAAAAAGGTTAAGAACCACTACCCTAAACAATGATCAGTCAATCACATTTCCAAATACACTAGACTAGTGAAATATTTTAAATGAGCATATTCAACTGATGTTCCCTGATTTCTACCTGACATTTAAAGTGTTGGCCTTCATTTACAAAGTCTAAGGGCCAACATACCAATTGTTTACACACATTAAAGATGCTTAAAATTACATATAACTGCATGCTATAATTTAGTTAATTATATTAATCATTTTCAGTGAATTCTGTATCTTTATTTTAGACTTCTGAGCAGGCCTATTTTCCTAAAATCCTCTGAGACTTGCAAAAAGGGCCAAACTACTACTAAATTTTTTAACTTAGCTAGTGTAAAACATGCAGGTATTTAAGGTAAGGGAAAGAAATAAATTAAGGGAATTAACAGTCCCGATGCAGAGATTCCCAGAGTGTTACATCTAAATTGACATGTCTAAAGACCACTGAAGAATTGATTTCTGATGGTTCTCTGACATCCTGGGACTAAAAAACCTTGTGTATGTTCCACTCTATTTCCACAGATTACACGAAGTTAGACACTTAGGCCCCAGACAGACGTTCAAACAACGGCATGATTGGGATTGGAAGAATTTCATGCCTTATCCCATATATTTCAGACATGCATGACAGAAGGCATGAAGTTTGGGATGGGGCATAAAATTCCTCCAATCCCAAATGCACTGCTGCTGAGCTGTCCTCACCCCAGTCCTGAAGAATGAGCTGAAGACAGCACTGTCCTAGATCCAGGGCTGCCCACAGCCTCCCGCAGGCTCCAAACCCAGGGCTATCAGGGCCAGGTTCAACAATCAGATGCTTGTCTGACTGGCCCCAAAGGTCCCAAGTGGGACTTTGAGACCCTGGGATGCTGGATGTTGAATGCTGGACCTAGCCCTAGCAGTCTTGTGTGGATTCTAGACTCAGGGCTTTTGGAGCCAGGGCAGTTAAATGAATGCTGGACCCAGCCTTAATTATCCCAGGTTGGTTCAAGACCTGGACCTGTCTGGGCTAGTTCTGACAATCAGCTGATTTTCAGCCAGCCCTATGACAACCCAGCTGTATGCATGATCTTTAGATGTCCCATGGCACAGGGACCTTAGGAATGGGAAACGGTTCTACTGTACCAGGATCCCCATGCCTTGGAACATCTAAAAAGCACGGGTTCAGGTCAGCCTCCCACAACCTACCACTTTTAAGCGGGGGCTACAGGACAAGACAGAAAAGGCTGCCAGGGTCCCAGAAGCCAGAGCTGCTTAGCTTTCCCAACCAGGGAGCCTTGCAACCTACTCTCCCAGCAGCTGATTTCTGCCATTGGAACTGGAGCTGTCCCTAACTTAACGGCAATCCTGTCCCCATGCCAATGCTGACAATCAATTGACTGTCAGATCAGGATGGCAGTGCTACACTTTAATTTATGGCAACCTGAAAATGAGCCACAAAGATAGTCCGCAATTTTTGTGGAATAACTTTGGGGCTGGTTTGCCACTTTACAGTGCCATAAATTAGCTGAATGTGTAGCACCTCCTACTTATGGTACAATTGCACCATAAATGTAACATGTTCCATGGGCCTAAACATGTTGGGAACAGACTTATAATATAAGTAATTACCTGGTACTGTGTGCTCTGATACCACAAGGAAAGTAAAAGGAAGGTATGGTAAGAAAGCTTTTACCTGGTATCTTTGCATTTCTTTCTTCCAGTTTTGTACTATTTTAATAGTTTTTGTACAAATAAGATTGTTTTCTATTTGGGTTATCTGAATAATCTCATTAATCATTTAAGTAGTTGATTTGAAAAAGCACAAATTCAACAGGTAAAAATTGTTTGCTCAATTGGCCACTGATCTTCTTATTCCTTCCTGCATGAAGTACTAGTTTAGGCCCTGCCAAACAGAGTACCCTCTTCTTGTGCTACTGTGCCACCAAGAATATGAATGAGAATCCACTTTTGCCACTGTGTAAGGATCCAACAGCTTTGAAATCTGTTCTCTGTAGACCTGAAATACCCTAATGATCTTGAGAGCATCTTCACCCCTTCCCCGCTCTCCAAAAAATCTGAAAAAGGTGGAAAGAAGGACCATAAGGAGAGGACTATGAGAGTGAAAGAAAAAGCTGAGCTTTTAATTTGTCTGGTTTGCTGATGACTGGTAATATTGAACCCTATTACTGTATGACTGTGGAGTGCACAATGTTTCATCTAGACTTGTACAATGTAAGGAATGCTTTTTTTATGGACAGAAAACTCTCTTGTGTTCACTGGAAATCTCATCTCTTGTTGATTTAGTTTAAATTGCTCAGCTTGATAACTTACACTATTTAATTAAATAAAAGATGATGTTTTGTTTTAAAAATCACAATGTTCTCAACTACACAAAATCGGCAAGTTAACCCAAATTAGAATTTGGGCTAACTTGGGCAATTTCAGCACAATATAGGTGAGACAAGTAGGAAATGTTTGGTTCTGTGTTTTGAGTTGCATGTTTAGAGGTCCATCTATTAGGAGCTCTAAACAACTGATTCTCTGGGCCAAACTATCTTTGATAGATAGGTGTATCTAGATCTTCATAAAGAATGAGCTTTGTGTTCCTCGCTCTCAAAGCTAAGCAGTATGATTCCAGCACTTTCAATAAGTACTCTGGCCTTGATGTAAGGATTTCAGCCCAAATAGCTGGAAGGAAGACTTTCTTCTACATCAGACTCTTTTGTGTTTCTTGTTCTCACAATTGCTGCTGTTTAAGATTGTTGAAGACTTAGGATCTGAGGTAAAGAACTCCATGGTAGGTCTTATGCTATTTGGCTTGGCATACAATATTAAGAGTCTAAATAAATACAACATGCTAAGAAGAGAGAAGATTTTCTAGAGAAGTGCCTGGTAGAACTTTTTTTTTTTATCGGGGTTGACAAAACTAAGCCTCCAAAGCACTGGAAGAGATGTCTTGGCTGGCCAACAGTAGGATATAAAGGAAATGCTTAAAGTGATTAAATCTCTGTATTAATCAATTTTGTCAAAACTCCTGCTTCTAAAAGACTTTTTTTTAACTAAACGTTACCAATGGAGAGAAAAGGCATTTTAATTTTTGTGGCAAACAACATCCCTTTTTCCTGACAGAACTATAATGCATGAATAAGTCTCTCTATGTCAGACAAGATTTTATCAAGAATGTTCACTTACATTCTATACTTCATCTAAAGCACATAAAGCAGCAGTCTCAGTGGATCAAGCTTCTCCAAATGAGGAGCCCCAGCTTCCCAACACCCGGAATATTTAAGACCTAAAACAAGCCACAACTATATTCTGATATGACCACAAGATTGTTTAGCTTATTCCTGTGGTCCTCCTGAAAAAACTCTATATATAATAAAGGTCAGAGACTTTTTAAAAATTTAAATCATAGCGGCCACACACTGTATACTGTTTACTTCACAAGGCTGTTGTACATTGTATTGACTCTCATCCATCCTACTTCAGCTACAACTGGAGGAAACAAACATGACAGCAAACTTACACTGAACGATAATCAGTATATAGTGTATATACTGAAATCCCCTAAAAGAAAAGAAATACTGTAGAAAAGCAGGAGTGCACCAATAGAGATTTTTTGAGCAATACCAATTGCCAATTTTTAAAGAGGTATAACGGCCGATACTGATCTGATTTACCAATATGCAGCTTGGCAGTTTGTAGAGCAGTGTCTGGCTGGTACATCTGTTGTGGTGAAAGCGGACGGGGAAGGGAAGGGACGTGGTGAGGGGCAGACTGAGGCCCCTGCGGTGAAGGAGGGCGTTGGGCTGGGGCTGAGGTAGGCGCTGTCCAGCCAGGGAGGGCGGGGCCTGGGATGGAACTGTGGTTCATCTGGGAGATGCAGGGGGCAGCTCCCACCACTACATGTACCCCAGGAGGGCATATGCCCCCTGGATCTGGGCGTGGGGTGAAGCAGGGCGGGCTGCCACTGCGGGCTGGGGCCAGAGGCTGTGCTTGGTTCTTCCTGGTAGGGGCTGCGTCGGGCTGCACTCAAGGCAGGCAGTGGCAGTGCTGGGAAGCAGTTTGGGGTGGGTTATGGCAAATTTTGGGGTGGCTGCAGCTCCCTCCCCCCGTAGCTCCCTCCCAGTGCCACCACCGCCCACCCCGAGAACAGGCTGGGAAGAGCCCGGTGCTGCCCTGGTCCCAGCCCGCAGATCCAAGGGGCACACACCCCCATGCCCTCCCAGGGTGCACACAGCTGCCTCCTCCTCCGCATGCCCCCTAGATGAGCCCCGGCTCCGTCCTGCACCCTGCCACACCCCACCCTGGCTGGGCAGCACCTGCCCCAGCCCCTGTCCCAGCCCCAGTCCCACTCCCTCCCTCCCTCACCACAGGAGCCTTGATCTGCCTCCTGCTTTGCCCCTTCCTTTCCCTTCCCCTTCCACCATAACAGACTTACCAGCTGGATGCAGCTCTCCAAGCTGCTGGGCCGCACTCCTGGCCCCGTGCATGCTGTGGCTGTGCGCATCCACAGGGCATTTATTGGTCACATTATTGGCCGCATCAGACAAAAAAAGCCAATTTCCAATATAGTCAATTTTCTTTATATTGGTGCCAATCTAATATCGGACTAATGTATTGGAGCACCTCTACAGAAAAGACAGAACATAACTTTCAAAGTATACAGACAACTCTTAACAATTCTAAAGGTAACTTCATTAATCAGAACCTGATGCTGACAAAATTCAAGTTGAATTTAGCAAGACAGTCAATTAGACACTATAAAAAGTTTGCTGTAACAGGGCAAAATACTTCCAGTTAGACCTTTTTTTTTAAATCAAGAAAGTAAAGACTTACTCTATTTATATAGAGTATTATAATGAAGGTGAGAAGCCTGAGAAATTATAGACAGAGTAGTTATCATTAAGGTTGCCTGTTTCCCATTAGAAGACTCTTTTTCAGGAACTCAAGTTTCCTTCCTAAATTTTAAATCTTTGTTCTATATTAGACGTTTATCTCAGAATGATTTTTCTTTCTTTTTTTTTGGAGTTTCAGCAAAATAGTTCATCCATATCTAAAAAATGCAATTGGAAATAAATGGTTTTGCCTAGATTAAAAACTGGCCGACTATTTACATTCCAACAAACTCTCAGTATTTCCACATTGGTTAAAGGTATGACCCCCTAAAATAAGTGAGGGCCAAGCTTTTTGGCAGACATACCATAACTTAAGCCCTGCACTCTGCAGTCCCTGTCCATTGCCCCATCTGCTGCTCTACTTTTTGCTCCCTGGCCTACCTGCTGCTATGCTCCCTACTCCCTCCCCAATATACTGTCCATGCCACTTGTGGCACGCATGCCATGGGTTGAGAATCTGAGGAGAAAACACATTAATGTTTCTTCAGTCAATCCTCATGGCTTGTTCTCAAAATACTGGGGAATATCCTTGCTCGTCTCTGAGAAATGTTAATGCTGTCTCCACTTTATATTTCTGCATCTCTTCATGGACCTGACCTTTCAGGGGATGTTTACTAGAAAGTGTTAGAACTAATGGCCATTTTCATTTAATGGGCACTTGACAGAGACAAGGATGTCACTTCAAGGAAAACGGTGCTTACAGCCTTGCTGGTATTCAGCCAGGCTGTGAAGAACCTGCCAGGGGTGGCAGGGAATGCCACTGTTTACAGCAGGGATTCTCAACCGGGGGCTTTGCAACACCTTGGGGATCCTTGCAGGCATGCAGCAGGGTGCCTCGCCGCACTTGCCCCGCTGCATATGCCAACACGATGCGTGAGGTTTCCAGTAGAACCTTAGGGTGTCAAAGCCGCAGTGCCCTGCCCAACTCCTAGCGCCCGACCGCTTGCTCGGATGCTTTTTTGTCGTCAGGGCCAGAGAAGTCAGGGCCAGAGAAGCGGAGAGCTGGCATTTCCCGGGGTCTCAGACCCAGCGCTGCAGCCCCTCGGCGCACCCCTGCACCATCCCCACACCGGGGGTTTTCTTCACAAGAAACGTGTGCGTCACACGGTGTGAACCCGGCCATCCGGGACACGACAGGTGGGTACCGCAGCGCAGGCGCAGGGAGCCGCCTCGCTTGGCTGGACTGGAGCCCGCCCTGCCGAGTTGGTCTGCAAGGTGCCTCCTCCGCACCCCCCCCCCCCCCCCCGGGCACAAAAGAGCGGGGGGGGGAGGGGGGGGGGGGGAGGGGGGGG